CAAAAACTCACTCTAAAGGGTTGATGAGTGGGTTGATGAAGTTCATGAACCTTTAAAGGGTTTGCTATACGTTGCACTTTCATAAACCCTTTGAAAGGGTCGATGAGTATGATAAACCTTCTCGTAAGACTATCAAAAACCCGCTGAAAAAGGATTGATGAAAATACGATACCCAAGGTTCGAGCTCATAAAATTTACTTGGAAGCGTTTATGAAGATGATGAATGGTCGAAAAGGTTCGTGAAAAGGTATATGAGTGGGTTGATGAACCTCTTCAACTCACCCAAGGGTTTATCAAAAGGTATATGTGTGGGTTGATGGATCTCTTCAACTGACCTAAGGGTTTGTGAAAAGGTATGTGAGTGGGTTGATGAACCTCTTCAACTGACCCGAGGGTTTATCAAAGGGTATATGATAGGGTTGATGGATTTCTTCAACTGACTCAAGGGTTTATCAAAGGGTATATGATAGGGTTGATGGATCTCTTCAACTGACCCAAGGGTTTATCAAAAGGTATATGATACGGTTGATGGATCCCTTCAACCGACCCAAAGGTTTGTGAAAAGGTATGTGAGTGGTTTGATGAACCTCTTCAACTGACCCGAGGGTTTATCAAAGGGTATCTGATAGGGTTGATGGATTTCTTCAACTGACTCAAGGGTTTATCAAAGGGTATATGATAGGGTTGATGGATCTCTTCAACTGACTCAAGGGTTTATCAAAAGGTATATGTGTGGGTTGATGGATCTCTTCAACTGATCTAAGGGTTTGTGAAAAGGTATGTGAGTGGATTGATAGACCTCTTCAACTGACCTAAAGGTTTGTGAAAAGGTACATGAGTGGAATGATGAACCACTTGAACTGACCCAAAGGTTTATGAAAAGATATATGCGAGGGATGATGGACCTCAATTGTAGCTATTAAGCTGTGAAGTAATGTATATAGAGTAACTCAAGAGTTGCTTTCAGAGCTCGATGAATGACTGAATAGAGAGGATTGTTTTCGTCATTAATGATGGACACGGGCGATCATGAACGAGAGAATATGGGACTTATCGAAGTTTGAAAGAAATACTTGTTTGTTATTACCTAAGCATTTGAAGATTGTAACTGATCGTGTCCTAATTAGGAAATCTGAGAAATTGAATCTAAACTCATTTAGAAAGAAGTGAAGCTAGAAAAACGGAAGATGGCTATATCCATATCTCAAAATTTAGCAAGTCAAAGGAAAATAAAGAATTTATATTGGATTAAACGAAATTTTCTGATTGAATTACTTGGATTAGATACGTCATGCATAGAATAATTAAATTGCAAGAAAATTGAGCAACTTGGAAAAAGAACTGTAATTAGTTGCTTGGAACGAATTTATCCAAGAGCTTCCAAATCCATCTATCTCATGAAGAAATTTCGGAGAATTTCATCAGGAATTCATCGGGACTGCCTGCAGGATCTTCTGTAAGAGTAAAAGATGTTCATGACGATTTCATGGGATATTCTGCTTCTTTATGAGCCTAATGAAAAGTCGGAAAACCTCGTAAAATGCTACAATAAAATTATCGTATGGTTTTTCCGTAATGTTATAATGCTCATCTAAACTTTTATAAAATCTTGAACTCTTGGTAGTATCAAAATAGCACTCTGCACAGTCATAACTACTCGAAGATCCTGTCGCTGATCTATTTTTCACTATCGTCTACGAAATTGTACAAAACCTTCACTCACTTGAAGTAATATTCTTGGTTGACCATGCTATTGAGTTCGGTGAAAGAGAATGAGCAGATTTCATTTAAAAGACCATTTTTATGCTTTGAAGACGTTGTCTACCAAAATCTAAACGAAAAATCAGTAATTAATTAGGACAGTAGTACTTTCTGATTAAAGACATTACTAACAATGCTAATGTAATACTTGCTTTTACATCGAAAAGTTATCATTTGTCCAATTTATTGAAAGCGCTGCTTGACATGAATCAATCTTCACATGAAAAAAATTCAATTAAAATTAAAAAAAACTAAAGAGCACACTCATCTGTATGCATCAGAGCTTCCTTTGATAATCATAGCCACATTCATTCATAGAAGACGTTGAAAAGCCACATGTGAATAAAAAAAATATTAGAGTTAGTAAATAGTAATCAATATGATTTTCATAAAAGATTCTTCAATATCGTTCAAATCAAGCGTCCTGTTTGAGCAAAAATATAGTTCAACGAATCTAACGCATAGCTTCAATAGCAATATCTACTATTGAACACTGGTCTTCTGAATACAATTGACGTTTCAGTCTTGACACTTTCTCTGCATTGTACTCGATCAACAGCATCCAGTTCAAAATTGGAAAAAGGTGGGAAACATCGTGAAAGCTCTTCTTAATGATGAAAATATGGCATAAATATCGGAGAAACCAAAGCTTACATTAGTATCTGTAATATGTATTTAACGGGTTTTTTTACTAAAATGGGCAAAAATCGCAATTCGGAAGAATGCTAGCCTATTTCAGTTGTTCATATTGCTATATGAACGAGAAACAATCGCTTAAGCAATAGGACTCTAATCATAAATCTTGGTAAATCTTCTTCTGCATCTAGCTAGACAACAAATCCTTCTCGAGAAAAAAAAATATATATTCGTGTGTGCATAAACCTATCTGACTTATTTCCTTGAAATGAAAAAAATGAAATAGAACTAACAATCATAGTTATGCTTCATTGTGTTACACGCAATAACATACCGGAGAAAATCAACTCATTGAGAGAAAAATTTGGAAATCTCAGTTCTCCTCTTCCTCATTGCTCATCTTAACAAAAGCAGACAATCTATTGAGAAAAGATAGTAGTTTGATACGTGAAGAATGTTTTTGATGCAGTTTCACAAAGCAAAAAAGTCAGTTATGATGAGAAACCAAACTTACTCGTCATGATGTTGAACGATACATGATGATTCTGAAATACATCAAGTTAGAACAGCACTCTCTGCGAACACTATTGAAAATTAATCTTACTCATCTAAAAAAAAATTAGCTATTGAAAAAACAACGTATTGAGAATATTTGTCCCTACTTTTCTCAATAAAAACGGCTTGCAGTAAAATTACTTATCACGCGTATCCAATCAGTATGTTGAGAGGCACAAGTTGAACGGAACCTGAAATGTAAAGAGAAATAACAGAAGACCCTAATCGTGGCTCTCATTGATAATATAAACAGACAAAAGAGACTAATACTAAAAAGATGCAGTGATATAAGAGAAACCTTTTAAAGAATTTTTTTGAATATACAGAGATGAACTAAAAGCATAACTTGCATTTATATATCGTTTTGTTTCATATTTGGAGATGGCCGGAAGCTGAATTGATCACGAAAAAACAACCCGGTAATAGAGCTCCTGCGTAATTGTTGTTGTCGATCTGAAAAAAGAACACAGTTTAAAAACGATTTTTGTGATATATTATGGGAAAAGATTTTCATCACTTTAACCGATACAAAAGACGTTGGCCTGCTGAAAAGATAGTTTTGAAGAACAACTTGTTGAGAAGAAAAGTTCGCCATTCACATTTTAGCAGTTGTTCTTGCAGATCTAAACACAGGAAAAGATTACTAATAAAAAAATATGCCGATATATTGAAAGAAATTCTTGTGACTTCTGTTACTGCGAAAAAAGTAACTGAGGTCGTCAGTTATACCTAACGATTAGTTTCTCAAAAGACGACAGATACCATTACATTGATTGATGGAGGCAGAAATACGATACGGAAGATTTAGTAGCTTATATGGTGAGATTATTTTACAGCAGCAATGAAAAAAGAAGTTTATATTATTTAATTTTTCGTCCTACGACGTTTCGATAATTTAATTATCATTAACTAGTAGATGTTACAATGGGGAAAAAGAAAAACAACAGAACAAAGAACTGAGACAACGATTATATAAATGAAATGAGAAAAGTTCATATATAAAAATGAAATGATATAATAAAATATGTAAAAACACAAGATCATATTGTGTATATAATTGTTATCATTATATCCTAATCATTTTAAATAATAGCATTTGATAGTAATATTTTAGTTGTTATTGATTAACATAGACCTAAGAATATTGTAGGTTAAAACATATTGATATTTGAAATCGCATGAAAAGATGATAAAACTATAGGTACATAAATAAGAATTAAACTAATGAATCATATAAAGAATAATCATTCAATTATTTTAAAAAATAATATTATAAATATCATAATTTAACATAAACTTATGATAAGTCTATAGATGTGAACAAAAGAATCAGAATAATGAAATATATAATATACTCAATTATGAACAATGACGTTTAATATTCATAAATGGATGTTCAACGAATAAATTGATGAGAGTCCATCATGTAACAAACCAGAATAAAACTCTTGAAACGTATACCATAATCATTATGAACAATTTAATAATACTATTATAAATATTATAAATTAGTATAGAATTATGAAAAGACCACAAATATAAATCTAAGAATCAGAATAATGAATCTTATAACAGAATCTTTTATAGCATATCAATTAATAATAGTAATATAGATACTATGATTTATAATATAGTTATGCGTGATGTAGGTTAATGAATAATGTCATATTTAAATAAACAAATTGAAGATAAGTCAATAATAAGAATGTGAATAATAAGAAACATATAAATTATAGATAAGATTGTAGATGAAGCAAAGACAGAATAAAAATCCAAAATGTAAATGATGGAGATGTTATGACATTAAGAAAAAGAGAATATAAGAGCTTTCATTTCAATTAATAATAATTGTGAATGAATTAATTTAAATTAATCTATAACAAAAATAAAATGGAATAACCTTATTGATTAGTAGTAAGAGTTAATGAAGAGTATATAGATGATAAGTTGAGAATCGAAATTATGAATAACAAACTTTAATGTTAAAAGTGTAGATGTTAAACTATATTTAGAGTTGTAAATGATGAAAGAACATATTTTCAATGTTTTTATGATACTATTTTATTATGTGTTGTTCTTTTCTTAGAACCTTCAGGATAAACCACCAGAGGTATTGATCTGGTGGTACGATTAAGACTTGGTGAATTTTCATTTATGGCCAAAGATTCTTTAACTAATAATCTATAAGGATGATTATCTCTATCAAGAATTGACCAATTATTCCAATCCATTTTATGATTGGTTGACGTTATATGTCGTTGTATTGCTGATGTTATTGTTGTTTCAGGATTTATTTCCTCATCATCACTAGTGTCAGATTCACCTTAATAAACTTGGAACTTTTTATTTTCAGCAATTCGTGCAGAACGTCTGAGGCTCTGACTTGGTTCCATAGTAGTTATGTTTGTTGGAGCGCCATGCTCCTTTAAACGTCTACAAACTTGTCTGACTGTTTTTCCTATATATTTTGCAGAACATGTTTTACAACTCAACTGATATACAACATGTGATTGAAAAACCTTTGGAATTTCATCTTTGTTTTTGAATATGTGTCTTACTGCCAATGGCGGTCTTGAAACAGTTATTACTTGTGTTGTAGGTTTAACCTTTTTAGCAAGTTTATTGATTTCTTTGCTAAATTGTTGAGTTGCTTTTCCTACATATGGAACATTTATTACTATTCTGTCTGTGTGAGTTTCATTATTATCCTGTTGTTGTTTCAATTGATTGATTTTAATGTCTTTATTTACTATGTTCTGTTTTTCTATATATCTGTTTAACGTGTGTCTTATTTGACATTCAACAAAATTTTTAGGATATCCGTTCCGTTTAGCGATATCTCTTATAAAATCAAATTCTTTGTGCATAATTGTGAATGATGAGGATATATGAATGGCTCGATGAACCATAGAGCTAATAACCGAGATCTTATAGGTTTTCGGAACAAATGATGACCATTTTAATAGCAGACCTGTGTATGTCGGTTTTCTGTATACCGAAGTTTCAAACATTTTCTTATTACGACGTACTAGTACGTCAAGAAACGGAAGTTCATTATTCTGTTCTTGAGCAGATGTGAATTGTATATCTTTATGTAAACTATTTAATACTTTTGCTATTTTATAGATTTTAGCATTTTTATGAATGATGAGGAACGTGTCATCAACATATCTTTTATACCATATCACACCAGCTTTCTTTAGTTTTTTCATTAGTTTCTTTTCAAGATGTAGCAAGAAGATGTCTGCTATCACTGGTGCTAAAGGTGAGCCCATGGCCACCCCATTATGTTGTTCATAGTATTTATTATTAAAATAGAAGTGTGTGCCTGAGGTGGCCATGTTTAGTAGTTTCTCCATATCATGTCTATTAAGGCATTTAGAACACCAATCTGACTTTAACTTTATGAATTTAGGACAATTATGTTCTGGTCCATACATTTGATTCAAAATTAAATTAATAGTATATGTTAAAGGTACTTTTGTGAAAAGGCTTGTTACATCAAAAGAAACCATCCTATGTTTGGTCATAGTTGGAGGGTGTGGGTGGGGGTGGGTGTGGGTGTGGGTGTGTGTGGGTGTGGGTGTGGAGTGTGGGTGTGGGTGTGGATGTGGGTGTGGATGTGGGTGTGGGTGTGGAGTGTGGGTGTGGAGTGTGAGTGTGGGTGTGGGTGGGGGTCCTCTTCTTCCGCTCACCCCCACCCGCCCGCCACCCC